CAAAACCCCTCGCCGGGAAAAGAAGTTTCGATCGGGCTCGGGAAGAACAAGACGAAACGGTGAGTAAAAGAGACGGACGAGTTCCATTAGTTATGGGCCTTGAACTAAATTGGGCTTTAAAAATTATTATTTCAGAATAATAGCCCAAATTAGGGCTTTAAACAATTATATTTCTTTTAGCCAATAATAATTTTCGGTTTGGGTGTGTAACTTTTTTTTTTTTTTGGTTTCGGTGTTAGATTAGACTAAAAAAATGATTATCATGTAATTTATAAAATGATTACAGTTGTATATACTTGGACAATGATTACAGAAGAACACCCTGAACAAATGCACTTGATTTAGTTAGTTGGTATTTGTGTTATAAAGTAATGATTAGATTGTTAAACCATGGGAGTCATGAATTTATAATTACATTCTTAATTTCAATTACATGTGAGATACGCATTTTGGTGACCCAACAATTTTGTTTCTTATCCCAAGTTAAAATTATTTTTATAAAATAAAATCTATTTTAAAGACATGAATATCAAATGCTAATAAAAAAAAAGTGGAAATATATATTGAAAGATTTACACATGCATGTATTTATCCAAAATACATCACCCTATTTAGAAAAGAAAATCCGTTCTTATCCAAAAACTAGTCTTGTTTAGAGATGCAAAATATAATAGTATTGTTATAAAAGGGGACATATTTGACAATATTTACACAGCATTAATTATTCAAAAGGTATATGAATGTCTTTATAATGACCTGTCATACATGCATGTTCCAAAATACACACCATATTAAGAAAAAAAAAATCTGTTCTTATCCAAAACAAATCTAGTCAAAATATAGAGTTAATTATATTATTTGTTCATTATAAAATTGAATCAGGGCCTGTCTTAAAATTATCGAGGCCCAAAGCAAATTTTAATGTTGCTGTTAATTATTTGATTTACCATCAAATCCAATTATTAGGGCCGGTATTAAAATTATCGAGGTCCAAAACAAATCTACTACTTTCCCGTTCCATAAAAAATGTTATTTTAACACGTTTCAGATAGATTATTTTTTGTCAAACATAGCAAAATGTTCATATTAATACGTAATTATCAATGATTTAAATTTAATATTTTTTAGCTTCCAATAAGTGATAAAATATGAATTACATTTAAAAGTCTAAAACGACATTTTTGTGAAACAAAGAAAGTATTGTTTATTGTTACTAATTAAGATGGACATTGATTCAACGTCAAGTCTAACAAGAGACGGTTTTGATCTAAACGTCATCGAGATCCAGAGAAAATTTTAGCGGCTCTTATTTAAAAAGACATAAAAATAATCTACGAATATCGTATTGTTAAAGTTAAATGTAATCGGAAAGGATCATAATATATATAGAACAATATTTTTTTTGGAACCTTTATATTTTTTTTTGAACCTTTATATATAGTATGATGTATACATGGTTGTCAATTGTTCTATATGTGTACATCATACTACATATTCACTTTAAATTTATAAATGAAACATAGATTTAAATAAATAAGTTTTTTTATTTAATTCAACAATATCGATAGAGAAACAGTATAGTCATAATTTCTTCAAAGAGGAGGCGAATGTGTTTTCCAATTTTTACATTCTCGTCAGGGTTCCAATTTTTTCAATTAGGGTTTTAAAATTCGATTTTCAGGGTCGAACATTTGATCTGACAAAAATTTCATCTTTTGTTGTACAATAATTTTAAATTTATACTATTTCAAATCACGGTAGTTTTAATTTTAGTTATGAGTTATCGGTAATTACTATCATTTCATATATATTTTATGATCATTGTAAAATATACGTAACGACTTAAATTATAAGGTTAATGTATTTTTTTTTTTAGATACGCATTACTAAAATATCTTTTACTTCTAAGATAGGTGCTACAAATGATACTTTTCTTTCAAAAATATATAACGAAGATAAATGCTATATATTGCCCAAAAAGAAATAGTATTAGAATAGTTTTTTTTACATTAGATTTCTTATTTGCAAAGCATAAATACATGTATCTCTATTCATCAATTGAACAAATCTAGAATCTGCCTTTAAAAATGCAATATTATGTTAATAATTCAAGATTTCCCAGTATCTCCTTCACTAAACGTATTGTTCTCTACTAATCTTCAATGTTACTAGAAGAGATGTTTTGAACAAAGCTGAATTTGATCCCATAACACGTTTTCTATTATATATATATTATTTTAATTAAAAATTAGTTAGAAGCTGATAACCGTAAGAATAAAAAGTAGATGTTTTTAGGAGAAATTGCAAAAATACCACTTTTTATTTACATTTTTGTAAAAATGCCACTAATTATAGATTTTTAAACCCTATATCTTAAAATTCTAAACACTAAAAAATATTTTGATCCTTAAATCCCCCTAAAACTCTCATAATTAAACCATAATAGACCATAATTAACCCAAACATAAATAATATAAAAAAAATAATTTTGAAAAAGTGACATTTTTGTAAAGATTTCAAAAATGTGGCATTTTTGTAAAGTGACACTTGAAAAGTAGCATTTTTTGAAATTTCTCATATTTTTAAATATTTTAAGGTAAATATTTATTAATGAAAAAAATTAAATTAACTATGCAATAGATTCAATACATGCA